TGTCACCCGGAGTCAGTCACAGAAAGAACTGTCACACACCCCAGCAGAAGGATCCTCCACAGGACGGAATCATGTCTACAGACCCAACAGAAGGATGGATGCTTCATCTCCTGTGAGAAATCCACTACCCTAGCAACTCAGCCAGTGGGAAACTGCCCTCGCCCTGAACTCCTGCTCTTGTCCAGTGGACTTCAGTTCAGGACAGCCCCTTCTAACTTTCTCCTAAAATAACACTTCTTTGTTGGAGTTGTCTGGTTTTACTGTAGCTTGCATGTCCCAAATTGCAATTCTGTGCTATTCCCGAATAAACCCATTTTGTTGGTAAAGTACTGGCGGTTTTAAGGTCAACGGTGGTCTCCTTTTGGCCCTGGCTCTTTCGGTGGGGCTCGGAGGAAGGATCACAGTCAGCCTTCCTTCGTGTTTGGGGCCCCAGGACTTGAACTAATGCATGTTTAGAAGTTCAGTGAGGGGCTGTGACCAATCAGGTAGCTCAAGTGAGGCTTCTAGTCACCAGACCTGGGGTAGGGGGGCAGAGGGAGGGGTCTCTAGACCCCGGTGGGTCGTCTCATCCAGTTCACTGCACTAGTCTGGGAGAAAGTCCCAGGAAGCTTGCATACATGGCCTGTGGAAATAACACTCTGCTGCGTGTTCTCTGTGCTTGGGTTAGGAAACAGGAAATAAAAACAAGTAAATTAGACATCCCCATTCAATAAGGAAAAGGAGTAAAATAAGGGAAGCAGAGAAAAGGAGTTGGTACGGAAAAGAGATATGAATTACACAGTATTAAATCTATAACGAAGAGGGAAGGAAGAAAAGAATGCTACTATACCTAATTCTCTGCAAATAGATTTGAAAATCTGAAGAAAATAGATCATTTCCTAGGAAATATAATTAGAAAAGGTGATTTTGGGAGAGATAGAAGGTTAAAGCAGACTGCTTTTCATAAAGGAAACAGAGAAAATTTCCAGAGAGTTAACCCTGCTACAAAATGAATCATAGGGATGAGATAAAACGAGGTCCAAAGTTTTACAGAATCCTACCCAAAAGTTTAGAAAACAGATCGTTTTAATTCTATTTAAACTGTTCAGAAAATAGAAAAAGTATTGCTTCTAAAACACTTGTATTAATTGACCATAACTTTGGTAGTGAAATGCAACAAAGAGCACAAAAGAGAAGAGTACAGAGGGACGGCACTTTGTGTCTGGCAGAGCCTGCTGGAGAGGAGGCGCCTCCCGAGTCTCCCCAGGTGGTGGAACCCGACCTGCCACGTAACAGGCCACACCGACAGTCACTGAGTACATGTACGTTTATGCACCAGGTCCTGCTGGGGGCACAATGCCAAGATGTCTTATCTTTGCCCATGGTCCCCGTATTCTAGAGGGTACACGAAGCACCATTCAGTGGTGTGGGGAGGGCTCCTGTGGGGCAGTACCCAGTGCATTAAAGGGGAACTGAGGCATGGGTCCTGCCACGGGCTTGTGGTGCTAGGGGAAGACCCCCAGGAGAACAGTGTGCATGCTTCTCCCTCTCCCTCTGCCCCTACCCCTACCTGTCCTCTCTCTTGCTTGTTCTCTATCAAATAAATACAATCAACTACAATCCTTAAAAAAGTAACTAAAAATTGTTAGGATAAAATTCATAGAACATAAAACTGGACGTTTTAAAGCACATGATTCAGTGGCTCTAGTACATTCACGCTGTTGTGCAGCGCCATCGTTCTCTTGCTTCAGAACATTGCCCTCACCCCCCAAAAGGACCCCGAGCCCGTTAAGCAGTAACTCCCCCTTTCCCTCCCTCTCGCCCCAGCACCCACCAACCTGCGTTCTTCTCCACAGTTACCTATGCTGAACATTCATAGAAGCGGAATTACAGAATATTGGCCTTTGGTCTCATTTCTTTCCCTGAGCAGTTTCTTGAGATTCCTTCCTTGTAGCATTTCTTAGGATGTCATTCCTTTTTATGGCTGAATCATTCTGTTGTGTGGACAGACCACGTTTTGTTTGTTGATGGACTTTTGGGCTGCTAACACCTGTCGGCCGTTGAGGACCTGCTGCTGTGAATGTGTGTGCACGGGGACTTGTTTCAGGATCTGTTCTCAGTCCCTTTGGGTCTGTGCCCAGGAGTGGAATTGCTGGGTCCGGCGGTAATTCTGTGTTGCCATTTTGGGGGAACCACCAAAAGATCTTCCACAGTAGCTGCACCATTTTCCATTCCCACCAGCAAATATGAGGCTCCAATGTCTCCAGTCCTCACCAACATTTCTGATTTTCCCTACTTTTGCTTATATTCCTTTCCAGTGGGTGTGAAGGGTTAGCTCACGCTTGCATTTGCTTGATGACTAACGGTGTTGAGCAGTTTTGTGAGAGCATTTTGGCTATTTGTGGTCTTCTGAGAGATGTCTGTTGGAAGTCCTTTTCCATTTTTCAGTTGGATGTCTTTTCTTGAGATGTAAGAGTTCTTTACACATTCTGGATATTAGGCCCTTACCAGATGTGATTTGCAAGTATTTTAAAATATTTTTTATGTTCTATAAATATTAAAATAACTTTTTATCTTTTTAAAAATTAAAATTCAATTAGCAAGCATATAGTACATCATTAGTTTCTGATGTAGCGTTCAATGAGTCATCTGTTGTGTATATACCCAGTGCTCATGGCATCACCCAGTTGCCCCATCCCTCCACCCACCTCCCCTTCTGCAACCCTCAGTTTGTTTCCGAGTCAAAAGTCTCTCACGGTTTGTCTTACTCTCTGATTTCTTCCCATTCAGTTT